GTATTTTGAAGAGTAGTTAGCAATCATGGCAATGGTTTTCAAGAACCAAAACCCAAAAGTCAATAGGAAACCGAATACTTCGGTATTTTTCGGGATTACCAAACAAATGGGATTTGGAAACCAATCCCATATCGAAAAGTTCGGTATTTTTCGGGATGGAATTCCCGAACTTCAGGATGGTTTTGGTTTGGGATTTTTCAGTTTGGGTTTGGGACTTTTTCAGTTTGGTTTGGGATTTTCCGGAATTTTTTCCAGCCCTACCATGTAAGTGACCAAATAAAAAATAGAAAAATTAAAAACCACATGCCATTGACTAAGTAATTAATTGACACAATTTAAAATATAATACCACAAAAAATTTGGAATATGTGCAAATTTGTTTCTTGTAAAAAGAATTCAAAACAAAACCATATATATAAATATTGTAGCATATTATCACAACAACATAAGTGGTATGGTGGTTAAGGAGTTAAGTGGGAGGGGTTCGAACCCCTCTATGCTCAAAATTGAGACTTTTCCAAATTTTCAGGAATTTTTTGACTAATATCGCGATATTATAGCTAATATCGCGATATTATCGATATTTTGACGAAAACTCATTGGATACTCATTAAAATATCGGTAACTAAAAAAAACGAAAATATCGGCAAAATATCGCCGATATTTTGGATATTTTCTTCCATGGATGTAACTAGCACTTAGCTTATCTTTCTTCCAAACCTTACTATCTCTTTCCTTGGTAAAAGTTTCAAAAATATCAAATCATTAACCATGCATACTCGAACAATAGCATGTCAGTCGGTTAGGCTTAAGTACTTGAGCGTTCTGAGTAGTCTCCTCTACTATTGTACCTTTCGCGGTCGAATCTTTTTCTCCCCAAAAACATTCCGTCCACAAGTTAACAAAAATCGATACACATGACACTGTTTTCATGGGCCTAATGGTGCTTCGGAAAACTGACGTAACCAACACACTTAAAAACTCCGCAGCTCCGTAAGTCCAAATCTCTTTCCATAAACAAATAAGTAACTATTGCACTGTCTGGAAAGGTTGCTACTCTTCACTGGCGTAACATGCGCTGACTTGGTAAACTGACCATCTATAGCCTCAAATTTAATCATGACCATCTCGTGTACGAGGAAGCTTGTACACATAATCTAAAGTAATATTTTTTTTCCATTTCCACTGCGAAACAGAAAATAGCTGTCTCAATCCAAAGGTTTCTTTCTTTTTGCTTCAATCTGTTGACCAATAATACACAAACTTACATACTCCGTAATTTTTCTTTTCATGCCCGGCCAATAGAAAAATTGTCGAATGGTATGATACATTTTAATACTTTCAGGATGCGTTGCATAAGCTGAATAGTGCTCTTTGTCCAAAATTGCTTTCTTTGATTCCACGTCATTAGGCACATTCGTCTTGTTTTCTTGCATAAACATGTCATCCGATTCTCGAATTCTGAAATCTTTCTTTTTCCCGTTATTCCTTGCTTTAAATAAATCCTTGAATTTCTTCGTCAAACGCTTGAGTCTCAAGTACGATTTACCAAAAAGGCCTAACTTGAAAATTAGCAAGTACGACTTCTTCCCGATCTTCCATTCTCAACTTTATTCTAGTAGGTCTCAAATCCACAAGAAGATGAACATGGCAAACATACCAGGCATTAATTCTCACTGCAGTCTTCTTATCAAGTGCATCGGCTATAAAAATTTCACGATCATTCTGGTCGTGCAATCATAAACACTAAGCAACTCAATCCACCTTCGTTGTCTAAGATTAAAATCCCTCTGTGTAAACAGATACTAAAGACTCTTATAATCCATAACAATCTTGTATTTCTCACCATAAAGATAATGTCTCCATAACTTCAAAGTAAGGATGATAGTGCAAAGTCTAACTTATGAGTAGAGTAAATTATCTCATGAGGTTTCAATTTGTCGCGGAGCATAGGCAATTACCCTAACACTTTTGCCTTAACACATCCAATACCCTTCAAAGAAGCATCATTAAAGACCTCATAATTACCGTTAATGTCTTGAAGTGCTAAAACATACGCATGAGTGAGGAAATACTGCAACTATTGGAAACTTTACTCACAATTTCCTTCCCACTCACACTTAACCTCTTTCCTTATCAAACTCGTCAATAGCAAGGTAATAACTGAAAAACCCTCAACAAACCATCTATAACACCCTACTAAGCCAAGAAAATTTCAAACTTCAGCCACGGTTCACGGTTGTTCCAATTTCTCCAATTCTGCTACATTTTAAGATTTCAATTGAGTACCTTAAGCAGATATAACATAACTCAGAAATGCTACCTGACTCACCCAACATTAGCATTTGCTAAACTTAGCATACATCGACGTTCCCTCAATCTTTGTAATACCAATTTAAGATGTCCGATATGTTCTGATTAAGTCTTAACAATCTCGTGAAAGCAGCAGGCGCATTCGTCAGTCCGAATAGCATCACTAAAACTCATAATGACCATAACGAGTCCTGAAAACAATCTTAGAAACATCGTCGCTCAATCTCCAATTGGTAATAACCAGACCTCAAATCCATCTTAGGAAATACGCAGGCACCTCTAACTCGATTGACAAATCATCCATGCGTGGCAACGGATAATCGTTCTCAAAATTTGCCCGATTCGGTTTCCTATAATTAATGTATAGTCTTAACGTTCATTTTCTTCCTCCTTACAAACAAAACTGGGGTCCTCCAAAGCGACAAACTATGTTGAATGGAACCTTTATCAATCAATTCTTGTAACTGAACTTGTTCAATTCCCTTAACTCAGAAGACATCAATCTATAATATAAGGTCCGTACCTGGAGACAAATTAATAATGAACTCCACATCTCCGCCTGATGGTAATCCAGGAAGTTCCTCAGGGAAAACATCAAGAAAATGTCCAACCACCTTGACATCCTTCACACTACTCAGAGCAACATCTCTTAGTACCGCATGAGCTAAATATCCTTGGCAGCCTTTCGATAACAATCTATTTGCTCTCCCAGCAACTAACGACATGCCTCGCTCCACTTTGCATACCCACAAAAGTAAACTCTGGTCAATCAGATCGATGGAAAGTAACTGGTTTCTCGTAGCAATCTATCCTGGCACGATTTAATGCTACTAATATGTGCCTAAAATCACATCCAAATCTCCAACGAAATAAGATTCACTGGCATAACTATATTTTCCATCATCACTGAACACCCTTAATAACACCAAACTCATGTAGGGTAACCTACCTGTTTACTTGCTTAACGGATCCAACGAATAAGTTATTAATATTACGGTATGCAGCCCGCAATATTAATAAATCATCGTTGTCTCGATAAGTAAGCAACAATTCTAAAGGGTGCAACATTACCATCTTACTCCTCACAGGGAAAAAATACATATTCACGCCTCGATCGTGCTCATTCGCTACTTTCTTTGGCAACATCATCCATAATAAGAAACATATCAGCCGGAGTCAGCTAGAATGACCTGTACGGCTGATTCTCAAGCTCAACCATCCTTGCTAGCAATTAAGTCGGAGTCACCTATAGTGACTTGTACGACTTACTCAACAACTATCCAAATAATATGTCAGCCGGATCCACCTCTAGTGGCCTGTACGGATGAACATATAACTCATCAAATATCCTTGTACCCACGGTCAATCTGACCAAAACTACTAAGTCCGTAAACCTGCTAGATCGATACTGTGGTGTCAGGGAAAATTGCTGGGTAACAACTGATTCTAGGGGCAACACATAACTCTATGTTCCACCTGTCCACATGACACATTCATTGATTCCCACTCTCCAAGTGTCTAATATTGTTCCTGCTGCACAAAGGTACATTTCCCTTATTCAAATCACCTTGTCTCTGAGATCTGGGATCACCAATAAATCTAGGGGAAACTTGATATAACTCCAATTTTTTGAGCCAATAGTAGGAATGGTCCAATTTATTAAAACAAGTCCAATTCTTTAAATTTAATTATTTAATTATCAATAATTATCTCTTAAAAGAAAAAACTTATGGTAAAAATCAAATTTCTTCCTAATTTATCTCTTTGATTATTTCTTTTTATATTTTTTTGTTTTTTCTTGTTCTTCATCCTGCTTTAACCCATTTATAGATTTTTTTTTAATTTTTATAATCAACCTATATCACAGGTTAATTGTATTTATCTACCTATATGACATATTTTTTTTCATAGTCAACATGTCACAGATTAATGTGTCTTGCTTGTAAGTATATTATGTTTTTTTTCTTCTACCTTTTAGTTAAGTTTCATATCTCACTTATAGGTATAATATACATTCACATATTTGCTACTTGAGTTAGGGTATAATGTTTTGCAGATAGATTTATGTTAGTATATTAATTTTTTTTTTGTTTATAAGATATTAATTAGATATTTTGGAGTTGAAAAATGCATAATATTAAACGATTTTAATTGATTTTTATTATTTTTAGAAAATATAAAAGGAGTTTAAAAGAAATAAAAACATATAATTAGATAACTGGAGTCAATCCTAAGAACACTTTATGTTTTTGGACCTGGATCTAAAAGCCCCATAAATGTATCACTTCGCCTCTGACCAGTGGCATTAAAACCTCAGCTGGGAGAATTCGCTCTAGCTTCACTTATTTTGGAACTCTGAATCTTTCGAGGTCCTTGATATGACGGATCATCAACTTTATCGTCTTTCTTCTAATTCCCTTTTTTTATTTTTTTATTCCTCTTTACTCTAGCTGATCATATTCTTAGAGTCCTCAATTTTCAACAACATCTCGTAAACTCTTGATAAAGAGTACAATGGATAGTGGTCCCAAAAAATGCCACTTCTTCTTATTACCCAGCCTAAAACAACATAACACCTCAACCAAATTAGCAACAATATCCGAATGGAAACGAGGCAAGTCTGAAAACTTTCTATAATACTCATTTGCCGTCATCTTCCTTGTTTCACATTTGCAAACTCTTGCTTACTACCATCATAATATGACGGAGGAATAAATATTTTCTTTAACAATTCCTTAAACAATTCTCAATCAGCTGTTTCCTCCGATGACAACGAATAATACTCCTGTTTCCACCAGGATACAAATTCATAAACCACAACCAGGTAGTCGTCTCGACCCACCTGTCAGAAGAAAGATTCCTTTGACTTGCATAATCCAAAACGTCTTTTCCAAGTGAGTAAGCCAACACTCTGCTCCCCCAGGTTCATAATTTCCATAAAGTGATTCAAATTCAACTTATAACCAGTCTCAAAGGGTTTCTTAGATAATAGACTGAATCACAATAGCAATAGTTACCCCTAAACTGTTAAATTAGGGAAACTAAGCTCATTTGAACGGCGTGGCTCCCTACGAGGCGGTATAGTTCTGACAGAAGACACTAGGGAATTCTCAAGATGCCCAGGATTGCAACCTAGGGCTCTGATACCGACACACCCCGTCCCGAAGGAAGGAATGCTGGTCGTCACGTGAGAGTGACGTAACCATTTACACGGTTCGGAAGCTCAAAAGACATAAATACTAAGGTATAATACTCGAAGGTGAAACCTACGTTTGTGAAATTCTGTCAGAACACCGTTGGATTCCTCGTGGCCACCAAAGCTCTGCTCTATCTCGAACCTGGAGGGGCGAAAAACAAAGTTGAGTGGGTCAGTAAAACCAATCTTTTCAAGACAAAACATTTCTCAAAACGTTGTAACCCCTCTGTAAAACCTGTACTTTCCCAGAAAAAAAAATAGCATATGTACAAATATACTTTCATAGATCTCAAAACTCATTTCTTTAACACTTTTCGGAAAAAAAAAATATGCCATGCCATGCCAAACTATAATATGAATGCATCAATATAAATCAGGTGAAAAATAAATCAACCGGAGATCCTACAATGATCCTGTACGGTTGAAACTATAGCTCAAAATCTCATCCAGCCGGAGTCACCAACTGTGACCTGTACGGCCCTGCCGGAGTCACCAACTATGACCTGTACGGCGCTACACTGCACATAAGTCGGAACTACCGAAAGTAGTTTGTACGACTATAATGGTGTAATAATACGCTCTAGTGCTTCTCTCATCAAGCATCTGTGCACATAATCTAAGGTCACCTACCAGTCGGAACCCCTCTAATGGTCTGTATGACTGGCATGTCAAAACCACCTCTAGTGGTCTGTACGACTAGCATCTACTTGGATCCAAGGTGAGCGTGTGATGCAGGGTGAATAACATAAGCACAACACCGGGGTGCAGGTTATGAGCTCTCAACATAAATCACATCAACCATAACTCAATGAACAATATGCAACTCACCTGATACTCACATGTGCGTCCACAACACCATTTCACACGTATGCATCATATATAAATTCATGCTTTTCATATAAATTCTATGCATGGCATTTCAAATCATACTTTTCATATAAATCTATACATGGCATTTTAAAGCATACTTTCATTCAAATTTGATTTCTGGGAAAACGTCAAGTATATATATATATATATACTGAAAATAACTACCCACTCACAGATATGTCGAAGGGTCGTAGCCCCCGAGCCTCCCTTAACTTTGCTCATCGTCCGCATAAGCCTCGCCTATATGAGAAGTAACCGAAATAACGTTAATTAAGCACATAATCAAAACCTTGGAAATAACTTCTCATACGTTGTTCAATTTGGGTATATGAATATACCACAGTGATCTACTCAACCTCACGAACAACCCCATAATTTTAGAAAAATTTTCCGACCACCCACGCGCCGCCACGCGCCAGCGAGTGCACGGCAAGACGCGCGACCACGCGCAAGGAACCCTAACGGTAACAGTAACGGCAGTTAGGGAATATTCCGTTAAAAATCAGTATATACCGTTTAATATAACTGACGCCGTTAGCATTTTCCGTCAGACTTGACAGAATATACTCCTCCTTCTTCCTTGGTTCGCCGGAGATCGTCGCCGGTGCCGCTGCAACTCGCTGGTTTCTGGAAAATTTTCCAAGCTTCGTATTTCAGTCAATTCTTAACCATTTTTCATGAAATCTTCACCAAAATGAAGCTTACAACATAAGAAACAAAACTTTACCAAGATTTGGACCTAACACCTTCGAGAATTTGCCAGAGATCCTTCGATAATTCCGGCCAAACTGTGATGCTTCGATCTCGGTTTCCAGACGTCTAAATCACCTCATTCTTCCTCTCTGAGCTTCGTGGAGAGGTCCTTAAGCTCCTTATGAGCTCCAAATACCTTGAAACCTTCAATTCCACGAGCACATGAACAGTACCAAATATTGGGTTCTCTGGTTCTACACAATCCCGACGTCCAAACTTTGTGAAAATGGTACTTCGAGCATCATGAGGGTGATCTAAAGCTTCCCATAAGCTCAGAATCAACTGAAACCCCCACGATCACAAGAGTATAAACAGTGCCTTCTTCGAGGTGCCTGGGTTCTCGGGTTTTCAAAGGTTTCACGTCCAACAATTGGTATGGTTGAGTTCGTGATGACGAGAGGAAGGAGATGGTACTAATCACAAGCTCGATCTGTGCATAAATGGGTTGGTTTGAGGTTCGTCCGTACGTTTGTACGGACGTTGCAGAAAATCGAAAGGGAGAGGAGAGAGAGAAGGTCAACGGGTGGGTGAATGTGTGGTCCGTGTGATCCAGCCAACCAAGGCAAAACAACAACAAAAATAATTCAAGTCTAAGTCCCTAATTGGTTCCAAAATATTAGGGACTTAACCTATTTGTCCACATTCACAACTTAAGCCATACAACGCCACAACAAAATTCATCGACCCAAGGGTAAAATCGTATTTTCACGCCATCAGAAAATAAAATATTCCAATATTTTGGGACGGGCTGTTACAGTTTGTGATTTTTCAATATTTATCAAAATCTAAATATTTTTAGGATAAAATGTGCATCAAATTAAATTAGGATACTCTACATAATTTTTTTCTTTTAAAAAAGTTACTTTAAGAAAAAAATTAGCCTAAATTCATTCTTTAATAATCTGGGGCTAAAAGTTTAGGTCATAAGGCAATCTCCAACCGAAAAATCCAGAGGGCCAGAGGGCCGAAAATAGCCCTAAAACCGTCTCCAACCGAGGGCTAGGCCAGAGGGCTCTGGAATCTGGGAGGGTCCCACGGGATCGGAGAGGGCTGGAGGGCTGGCTGCTTTCGGCCAGCCAGCCAGCCCGCTGGCTGGCTATTTTTTTTTTTAATATTTCCTATTGCTGTCGGTTAAAACCGACAGCATTAAAGGGTTTGTTTTTTTTTTAATAGTTCTGCTATTAGTGTCGGTTATAACCGACACTAATAGTTTGAATGTTTTTTAATACAACGGCTAGTAGCCGTTGTATTATTAGGCCTTTTTTTTTTTTTTAACTTTTTTTTTTCCCTTTTTTTTTCCTTTTCATATTAATCAAATTTTGTTTCAAATTTTTTTTCAATTCTATTTTACAAAATTTGTTTCAATTTTTTTTTAAATTCTATTTTTTTCCTATAACTTCTATTTTACAAAATTTGATTCATATTTTATTTCCTATAACTTCTATTTCACAAAATTTGTTTCATAATTTTTTTCAATTCTATTTTTTTCCTAGGCCATTTATACAACATTAAATTAAATTAAGTAACATGAAACAACATTAAACAATATGAAATAACATTAAATAACATTAACCAACATACAAATTATACAACATAAAACCAACATAAATTTGATTCATATTTTATTTCCTATAACTTCTATTTCACAAGATTTGAATTTAAATTGTAGTTTTTAAATAATAAATTATGTTTGACCCTATGGTCCTCGGTTGGAGACGGTTTTTTGTGACAGGGCTAAAACGAGCCCTCTGGCCCTCGGTTGGAGACGGAGGCAAATATGGCCCTGTACTGTTCATTAAAATATTAATATCTTGGAGAATCTTGGAGGGCCAGAGGGCTAAAACGAGCCCTCTGGCCAGCCATCGGTTGGAGATGGCCTAAGGGTTGGAGCAAAAAAGCTGTTATGGGTTAAAATCTAAATTTTCTGGGCTAAAAATTTTAGGTTTTAGTCCAAGGATTGGAGATGGTCTTAGTGTAGATAATATCGTTTTAAAAAAATATTTAAGTGATAATCCAATCATTCACTACCACATTATTCGATTTAAAATTTTGATTTCTCTAACCTTATCCTCTAAAAAAAATCTCTCACTAAGACATTCCTCACACCCTCACAAATAATGCATTAGTAATGAGTTAGTTGGGGGTTTGGAAGATTCAAAGTATGACATTGACAGGCTTCTATTTTCTGGTCCAGTCTGCAGACTTTAGTTTTGTTTTATTCCATGCTTAACTCCATATATGGACATGTCAACATTGGAAACCTCAGCATAATAATAAGAAGAAATTTCCACAATTTTGTTAGCACGTGATTTTGACTGTTTTGTTATCTCAAAGGAACCTAATTCGGTTGCTGAAAAATCAACAGCAAATTATGTTGCTGTCTATCACATATGAATATGTATCTAATTAATTAATTTTTTAATCACAAATTAAACACGTGTTCATCTATGATTTTTCAGCAGCATGAACTACTGATTTTTCAGCAGCAACTACTGTCAAACTCGAATTATGTTGATTTTTCAGCAGCCAAATAACGTCCATCTCGAAATTATGTGGTGCAAGTGCAAGTCGTTTGGACATAAATTTGAGTGGGACGTTTATGGATAAAACCTAAGTTTTTGGTCCAAATTATCTCCAAATGATGTATTTAGGAGGTGGGAAAAATAGGAATTTGGTTTGAGTGTATATTTGGATCTTGCATCCACGCCGAATGGATAAGAAATGCAAGTGGGCCGAGGGGGAGTGGCGGGCCCTCTGGTCAGAAGAAACATAATAGGAAGATTCAATGCGGGCGGGCTCAAAGCAAGCCTAGTTTCTACGGCTGAGATGCTCAAGCCATTGTCATTCATTGGTTGTCACAACTCCTGGATTATGAGCCAATGATGTGCACCTAGCTGCATCTTTTTTTAATCCAACGACTCAATCCAATTTAATCAATTTTAACGGTAATAAAAATTGGGTTTTGTTGGTCTTGAAATCATAAGCCCAACAAATTTGACCTGAAGGCCCATTCTCGAGCCGAACCGAAAAGCCGATCGATATTACTGAATTTCGAGAAAGCCGACATATTGGTTTGGTTTCGGTTTTTCGCCTTCTTTTTCCGAACAATTTCAGTTCAATTTTTGAACCGATCATTTTGGTTAGCTATACTAAACCAAACCGTAAGTAGTAATATTCGCAGTGTCGTTTTCTCTTTATTGATTTGATTTATTAAATATATAAAAGACTAAAAAAAGATGAGTATGTGTAAGATAAAAATTAATGAGGAAATCACCTCTTAATCATTAGTTTTGTTTTATTCCATGCTTAACTCCATATATGGACATGTCGACATTGGAAACCTCAGCATAATAACAAGAAGAAATTTCCACAATTTCATTAACACGTGATTTTGACTGTTTTGTTATCTCGAAGGACCATAATTTGGCTGCTGAAAAATCAACAGTAGATCATGTTGCTGTCTATCACAGATGGATATGTGTCCAAGTAAATAATTTTTTAATAACAAATTAAACACGTGTTCATCTATGATTAGCTAGTAGCAGGAATTGCTAATTTTTCAGTAGCCAACTACCGTGCATCTCGAAATTCGGTCTCCCCCTTCTCTTTTTCTTGTATTTTCTTGTTCAAGAGGGGTAAGGTGTATATCCCTCCCTCTTTTCTTGTATTTTGTTATTTTTGCTTTATGAAGAATAAGGTTTATGTCCCTCCTTGATTAGGTGTAACTTCTTTTTTTCATCTCAATAAATTTCTCTCGTACCGTGATTAATAATTTAGAAGCATAAGACTGTAATTCTTGGACCGTTTGCGTATCATCTTTGCTTTGTTCTGTTCAGAAAAAACTAATTAGCCAAGTTTAGATGATTTTCGAATCCGAAGAGTGTTCAACTAGAGCTTGATTATATGTAAACGTCATCGAAAACATTTCATCCGGAATAATGTAACTGTTATGTGTGTGGTCGCATTTGCATTTGCATTTGCATTTGAATCAAAATGTATGTCATCATTAAATATCAATCTTGAAATTTATGGTGTTGTTTATTTTGATGGTGAACTGAAGACTAAAATTCCACATTTGGGCATCTCCAGCTGTGCCCACAAAATGGACAGAACTCGTCGGCTGGCAGCACCAATTACCAAATATCACCACCACAGACCAAAACATCCTTACCACTGGTTGCTCACTTCCAAGTTGCAATTGGTAGGTGTTACCTACGGCGTACGCCACCTTCAAGCTATCAGCAAAAAATGAATGGTGTGTGCTTGATATGTAAAAAAATCCAAATCACACGTCTTCGTTCGACTAGTCTTGGTAACACCAACTTGTTTCCCTATTTATGTGACTGTTTTGTTATCTCGAAGGACCATAATTAATTTTTTAATCACAGATTAAACACATGTTCATCTATGATTAGCTAGCAGCAAGAACTGCTAATTTTTCAGCAGCCAACTACCGTGCATCCCGAAATTATGTGGTGCAAGTGCAAGTTGTTTGCACATAAATTTGAGTGGGACGTTTATGGATAAAACCTAAGTTTGTGGTCGAAATTATCTCCAAAGCATGTATTTAGGAGGTGGGAAAAATAGGAATTTGGGTTTGAATGTATATTTGGATCTTGCATCCACGCCGAAAGGATAAGAAATGCAAGTGGGCCGAGGGGGACAACAAGTTGCAGAGCGCATGAAGGGGGAGTGACGGGCCCGCTGGTCAGAAGAAAATAATAGAAATATTCAGTGCGGGCGGGCTCATAGCAAGCCCAGTTTCTATGGCTGAGATGCGCGAGTTGTTGTCATTCATTGGTTATCGCACATCGTGGATTATGATCCAATGATGCGCACCTAGCTGCATCTTTTTTTAATCAAACGACTCAATCCAATTTAATCAATTTGAACGGTAATAAAAAAGATCCAACGGCTCAAATTTAAATCTAACAATCAAAGTAATATTACTAATTGATCCAAATTAGATTCAACACCAAAACTTCTCCAAAACTCTATAACTATCCGTTCATTTTTCACCTATTCATAAAAAAACTCAAAAATATAAACAATTTTTTACATCAAAATGTTCGTAAAAAAAAAAAAGAAGCAAAGATTATACAAAAATTAATTCCAAAATTGCTAGCAAAAAAAAATTGAAAGAAATATAAAAATTTAACAAATTATAAAGTTGAGCATGGAAAACTCATAAAATGACACGGGATAAAACCCTTGACTTGGCCAATTCTAGGTCAATAACTGGTACAAAAAAATATGTAAAAGACGTTTAGACATCGCATTATATATAATGTAAGTAGTTATATGGGAACGGAGCCAAACTTGTATCTCGAGCTGATCATACAATATGGTTCACAAGGCCAACTTTGTTTACATGATTTCCATCATCCTATTGCTATTGTTCTCATCCAAATTAGTCTTTGCCAATGTTTCTGAAAAACCAAAGCACAGTACTCTCTCTCTCTCTCTCTCTCTCTCTCTCTCTCTCTCTCTCTCTCTCTCATACAATAAATCGTTGTTTGATTAGCATCTATATATGATTGGTAAGTTGGTAACTAGTTAATAATGAAAGTTCATTGGTCATTGCAGATGTAGCAGAAAAGATCATCAGTAGGTCGCATCTGCATGTTGTGGCAAAGGAAGAGGAACCGGTGCACTATAAGACCGTACCTTTTCCGGGGCATGGAAAAAAAAAATAGGGGTGCGCATTAAACCGATCGAACCATATGTAAGTTGGTTTACTCGAAGAAATTTTTGTGTTCCGATAAATTTATTTTTTTGATAGATGGGAGTTTTAATAACTGTTCACTTTTAACGAAAAACCAAATTTTTACCTTTACCTGACACTATTCACTATACTTTTAAGCATGACTTTTCATAAAAAATGAAGTTTTTTTGGACTTTTCGTTAGTTTTTATTTGATAGAATTGAAACGTGGGAGAAGTGTAGATTTTTTGAAATATAAAAACGGTTGAAATGTTAGATCTTTTTTTTTATTGATATGTTGGAAAATGCTTAAACCGGCTCAACCAAATTTCTTTTTTACCTAATCCTTTTGGATTTTTCTTTTTTGTTTTGCAGCTTGTCTTGCAGGTTCTTACCTTTTAAGTTTTATTTTAGAGGGGTTTGGTCCTATGTTCGCCCCTCTCTTTTTATTGTATTTTATTTTTTAATAGGGGTAAAGTCTATGTCTCCCCTTCTCTTTTTCTTGTATTTTCTTGTTCAAGAGGGGTAAGGTGTATATCCCTCCCTCTTTTCTTGTATTTTGTTATTTTTGCTTTATGAAGAATAAGGTTTATGTCCCTCCTTGATTAGGTGTAACTTCTTTTTTTCATCTCAATAAATTTCTCGTACCGTCGAGGTTTTTCAACTAACGTCTAATTTTTTTTTCCAGTGATTTGGAGAGGATTTGAGTCAAATATAATTCATGACTCCAAACTTCTGATTCCACAACTAAGTTTTAATAGTATATATCAAAGCAGCACCATTACTGTATAAGCTATGGGAATTCGTCTTTATTATATCTGAACTAGGTAAACATGATGCATGTGAAATTAGAAGCCCAAAATGACGGTGAAGGAGAAGAGAACAACTCTTACGCCATGGTGAACCTGCGTCATACAAGTTGTCCTCCGCTCCCTAAACATAAGTCATTGACAAAGTTATTAATTTACGTTGGACATTGGAGATTGAAACCTCATAAGAAATTTCTTTCTGAATCTGTTTCATTACTAAAACACGTGATTTGACATTTTTTCATCACGAATAACAATATTTATAAACATTTTTCACATACGCTCAAATTATGTAACTTGAAAACATAATAGGTTCTTCAAAACAATTGGCAAGTGCCCTTTTACCACAGTAATGAAAATGAGTTGAGCCCTTGCATGACGGCGTGGGTTCGAACTCCGTCGGAAGCTAATTTAACGTTTAATTTAACAAAATCTATTGTTTCACAAAGAAAAAAAATCAAAAGAATTGCAACACGACATATCTAACCATACCTAAAGTAAAACTATGGGCGAAACAAATCAGCCCATCAAAATGAAGGCCCTAGTCCTAATACCAGGAACAGTACTTGCTTATTGCCATGTGCAGCTGTCACCACTGTCGATCCCAGGGTAGACTTCGCCATCGAGATAGATCACCGCTACAACCACAAACTAAAACTACAATGCCGCTATCGCAGCCAGGCCTAATGAAAACTTGGAAAATATGCTAAGAAGAAAGAACCAGAGGAAAAAGAAGAGAGGTAGGTGAGGTTTGTGGTGTTGATAGTATATGAGTCTCACATTGAGAAAAGAAGAGACATTACATGTGCTTATAAGTAATTAGGCTATTCCATATATTGTCAATTAATTTTAAAAGAGAGTTTTAACAAAACACTCCCGGTACTGTTCACTTTTAACGAAAAACCACATTTTTACCTTTAACTGACACTATTCATTATACATTTAAAAAGGGCTTTTCATTACAAGAGAAGTTTTTTTGGACTTTTCGTTAGTTTTCTTTTAATTTTTATGGTTGAACCTCAAGTTGCTTCACGTGGACGGCTCTAAATCCAAAGTCATCATGACTCGGCGGTTAGGGAGTAGGGCTTTTCTCTATTTTCACTAGGCTGGGTTTTTAATAAAATAATGTGTCTAATTACTTTAGTCTAAAGAAAGCATGGAAATGGCACGGTAGAAATTAGGGCTGGGCACGGGCCGGGCCAGGCCTAATTTTGAAGGAATTGAAGGTTAAAAGAAACGGGCCGAGCCAAGCCGGGTACATCATATTTCATTACAGGAATCAAACTGAACCCAGCCCGTTTGAAACGGGCAGGTCTGGGCCGGGTCCACGAGTCCTTGGTTTTTTTTTTTTTTTTTACGAAACCGCTACGGAAAGGACTCCAGAACCACCGACATGCTGCCTTCGTCATCGCACCACAGCTTCTCCATCGAGCGCAGCTCCACTTTCACCACCGAGGCCCGCATCGGCAACACCACGTTTCTCACCATGGCCTACATCCTCGCAATCAACGCCTCCATTCTTTCCGACTCTGGTGGCACCTGCTCCGTCTCGGACTGCATCCCTATCTGCTCTCCGACTACCTAATGGAAGAGAACAAAACAAAACACACCATTTTAATATTCAATACCCAATTTTTCAAATGGCAGACAAATCTGAAGCAACTAAATTCCCCAATCAAATTACAAAAACCCCATTTTTCTCTACCTTCACCACAATCAGATTCCAATCTCATCATCTCCAAATTTGCCACCTTTCCCAGATTTCACTATCATTTTTCCACAAATATTAACACACACAGGAAATAACTCACAAAAAAGCAGCCAAATTCCCAAAAACCTATCTCTCTAACTTCGGGTGATTAAAAAAAAAACTGAAAAATTAAATCCCATCAAGCAAACTCAATCAACTCTCAGGAGCTCTCTCAATCGATCTTCGACGAAAGCCTTTACCTCCTCGACGTTGAGAAGATGACGCTCTCACAGGTACAGTCTTCTGAGCGAAAATGCAGAGAAAATTAGCAAAACCTAGCTGGGATTAAAAACTTAAAGAAGAAGAAGAAGAAGAAACAGGTTCGGGGAGAGAGAGATTGTGGGAGATAGAGAGGCAGCTGAGACATAGTGAATTCTGGAAAGTTGAATTGAGTAGAAACTAGGGTAGAAACCAACGGTTGAGATGGGATGATAGGTTATCATTCAATCTCGGCCGTTCATTATAATTAGAAACGGGCCGGTCTGGGTACCCGTTTTTCTAAGCATCTGGACTCGGCCCGCCCCGTAAATGAAAAGGGCCCGCCCCGCCCCGCCCCATTTGTTCTCTAAAATATTAGGAACTGGCCCGTACCCGCCCCGAACCGTGATTACCCGCCCCGACCCGCGGTTCCTATACCCGTTTGCCCACCCCTAGTAGAAATGAATAGTGTTAGTTTAATTACAATAATGTCATTGCTCTAAGGATTTCACCTGGGCTTTTGTGGGTTTGGGCTGTGTGACTGGGTTGGTGGGTTTTGTTTGTGGTTGGGTTGTTCAGATGGATGGCCGACACGGGCAGGCCTAGCCTGCAATGAAGCCAGTGAGAAGAGAGGGGAGGTGTGGTGCGATGCTAGAGAGAAGAGAGAGATGAGTCGTCCGATAGCAGAGAGACGAGAGGTGGGTCGTGCGATGCCAGAGAGAAGAGAGATGAGGACTTCTAGAAGGAAAAATTGGAGGAGAGAGGGAGGGGTAGGATGAACAAAGCAATAGGTAGGGGTGAGGCAAGAAGGGACGCCTAAACCTAGGGTTGGTTTCAGAGATTTGGTTCCAGCTGGCAGCTTGAATTCCTTTCAAAGCTAAGTGACCCTTTTGAACCGAATTTTCCCTTATTTCACTGTTTCTGGTTTGAACTTGCTTAGAAACATGTTTTTTCCTGCTTTCTTTTCTGTTTGATTCTGGTTCGGTTCTTCAACTTTTAGTCAGGAGTGCAAGATTTGATTTTAAATTATTAAATTGGGACAACAAAACAGATATTTTGTGCTGCTTTCTTCACTGTCTGATAATATCACTTCCTCTTCATTTCTCTTTTTCTTCCTGTTGTGTTGGTCTTTCAGTGTTATAGCTTCTCTGCCGAAATAGGTTTTCCATTTGTATAAACCTAGGGTTTTGGGTGTTTTGTCCTCCGTGGTAAAATTGCTTCGCACAATTTCTGGGGTTGCGATCAACGGTGGTATGTGCTGTGTTTGGTTTTTCTTTTGAGTTTTGCTTGATTTGGATGAAATTGTAACCATTTTGTTTTGGGTTGGCTCTGATCCTGTGCTAGGTTTTCCTCACTGAGAGGATATTTTTCATTTTGGTTCCTTCGTTGATTAGTCGCAAATTTGGCAGTCTCTGGCGGTCCTCTTATTTTTTGGGTAAATCTCCTTCCGCCAAAAACAATTTCCTTGCTATTTTTAGTACTTCGTTCTCCTTCTTCTTCTTTATTATTATATACCTTCTGTTTATTTAACATGTTTGTAATATTGGTTTATCATTTATGCATGTTTTTATACAATTGTTGCATATTTCATTCATATTTTACATTTGTATATGCTTCACTTTTATCAAGTACGTACTTGAGAGATTGGTAGCTTAATTTCTGGGTGAGTTTTTGTCATCGTTTTTTTGTACGTCTAGGAACCCGTTGATAAGTGTTAGATTAGAGTGTGTTTGTAATTTTTTGGAACAAATCAGAGGAATGATTGGAATTTGGGTAAATTTGATGTTAGGTTAAAATTTCTTTGTAATTCTAGTCTGCTGTGCATTACCCATTCGGAAATCATGCTTGAGCAGTGGTGTTGCACCATTGTGCTATTTTGCAAAGTACCAAACCAGGGGAAGAAGATCATTAACACTTTGTTTAGACAGAACCGTTTGTTTTGGCCAAAATCAAAAGGAAAAAAAATACTTTTAACCAAATGGTGTGTTTTCTTTCTTCTTTGTCCATTTTGCCTAAAACATTTAACCAAAACATGACAATTTCACTGAAAAAATCCCAATTCCCAACTTTTAAATGAATTAAGCATGTCATTTTAACACCTCCTATAAAATATTTATGTAAAGCAACTAAAAATCTGGCTTTTTTCCTACTTTTGAATGAATGAAGCATGCAATTTCAATTTTGTCCATGTGGTCTAAACTATTGAATCAAAACATGACAATTTCATTGCAAAAACCCCATTTTTTCCAACTTTCGACTGAATTGAGCATAACATTTTAAGGCTTTGCATAAAAGATTATATGAGGCAGCTAAAAATCCTATTGTTTTTTCTACTTATTCATTGAATCAAACATGTCATTTCAAATTAGTAGCTCAATTTTCTTTCTGCTGTTACAATTAGTGGCTTAAGTGCCCCATTTTTTCCTACTTTTGAATGAATTGAGCATAGTTGTGAATTGTTTCCTAACAAATCTGTTGATATATGTTATTTTTAGTAGGAAATTATGGTTGCTGTTGTTAGAAATAGATTGAATTTTTCTGTTTGATTTTTATTATAGCTTATGCCTTTGAACAAGCATGCTTTTAAAGTTGCTGCAAAGTGTTTCCTCCCTTGCTTGAACAGGTAATACAATGTTTCCTCCCTTTATTTCTCTTTTTCGTCTGCTATATCCACCAGCCATAAAGCACAAAAGCAGTTCTACTCAACACGCACGCACACACCCAGACACCTCCACAACTGACCACCCGACCTCCATTTCAGCTCAGATTCCGGCTGTCCAAATCAACCAGTTTTCCGACCCTTGAATGTCTTAAGGTACTTTTCTCTTTCCTGTGGTTCCTTCTTTTGTTGCTTAAATTCATGTGATTAAAGTCTGAAAAAATACAGTGAAAAGGATGCAACTTTTTTATGGCAAATGTGCTTAAAGATTGGACATGTTATTGAATGTTAGCCATGTAGTTTGAATTGGATATGTGATTGAATATTAAGTATTTAGTTTGAATTGATTTGGATGTGTGGTTTATTGAATTGGAATTTGGATATGTGCTAATTGGAATTGGATATGTTGAAACTTTATATATATCTCAAAATAAAATAAAAGGAATTCATTCTGTTAGGTTTTGGCTCGTCAATTAATGTCTTTTTCTGTTTAGGATTGTTTTAGGGAAAAAAGGGTGCACCAATTCTTCTCCTAAAAGGGCTAGGAAAGAATCTTAGTTTCCTTATTCAATTTTAGAAGATGTTTATATGACTGTTGTGTGTACTATCATGTGTTCCAAGATGGGATGATCATATTGCTATTGCTATATGTGGATGACATGCTAATTGCTTGTCAATACAAGTCTAGAATTCAAGACTTGAAAAAGATGTTGAGCGAGGAGTTCGACATGAAGGATCTAGGTGCTGCACAGAAGATCCTTGGCATGGAAATTCAGAGAGATATGACCGCTGGAAGGATCTGGATATCACAAGCCAAGTATATTTAGAAGGTTCTTGAGAAGTTCAACATGCAAGAAGCAAAGGTAGTTTCGACTCCTTTGGCAGCTCACTTCAGGTTAAGTGGGCAACAGTGTCCTACGTCCGAGGAAGAGCAACAAGTAATGAAGAATGTGCCTTATGCTAATGCAGTGGGCTGCCTCATGTATGCAATGGTATGCACACGTCCCGACATAGCTCAAGCAATCAGTGTCGTTTCCAGATACATGGCAAATCCAGGAAAGCAACATTGGGATGCAGTCAAGTGGATTTTGCGTTATTTGAAGGGTTATTGGCGACAAAGGATTATGTTTGAGAAGCAAAAGGAAAATGCAGGGGTGTTAGGATACGTGGATGCAGATTATGCAGGGGACTTGGACAAGAGAAGGTCAACTTCTGGTTATGTGTTTACATGCGCAGGAGGACCAATCAGTTGGAGGGCACTACTGCAACCAATTACAGCTTTGTCGACCACAGAGGCAGAGTATATTGCTTTTGCCGAAGCTGGAAAGGAAGCGATTTGGCTTAGTGGATTGGTAAGTCAAATGGGAATCACTCAAGATTGTGTGAAGCTGAAGTGTGATAGTCAAAGTGCCATTCACTTGGCAAAGAATCAGGTTTTTTCTGGAAGATCAAAGCACATTGAAGCAAGGTATCACAAAATCAGAGATTGGGTGGAGTCTAAGGAAATTTGGATTGAAAAGGTTTATACGGATGACAATGCCGCAGATTTCCTTACAAAGATAGTGCCGGCCAAGAAGTTCAAGCATTGCTTGAACTTGATCAATCTCGTTGATTGATTAAAGTGGAACACCTTCTCACTTGAGGTGCAACAAGGCAAGAAGAAGATTGCCAAGGTGAAGACTCTTGAAGATTTCCAGAGCTACTTCAAAAAGGTTCAAAGATACTCTGGGGTGCAAACGATCAAGACTTGGTTTGACTCACCAAGGTGGAGATTGTTAGGTTTTGGCTCGTCAATTAATGTCCTTTTCTGTTTAGGATTGTTTTAGGGAAAAAAGGGTGCACCAATTCTTCTCCTAAAAGGGCTAGGAAAGAATCTTAGTTTCCTTATTCAATTTAGATTAGAAATCCTAGAAGTCTATTTGGAATTGGAAAGGAAGTCTAATTTCCTATTCCACTTAGAATAGGAATTATAATCTGTAAAGGACATGTAAATTGCACCCTATGCCTATAAATAGGGTGCGGCAAGTCTTAAATTGTAAGAGAGAAAAACTGTGACAGCCAAGACAAGAGAGAGAGATTAGTTCTAGGGTTTGCAAAAGTTTTGTAATCTCTATTATTAATCAAAGGAGCGGTGATTTCTCTACCAAGAGAAATCACAACTGGACGTAGGCATAAGTTCTGCCGAACCAGTATAATTCTTGTGTGTTTCTAAGTATTTTCTATATTTGCTAGTTTAGTCTATTGCCGTTGGTTACATCAAAGAACAAGGTCTAGTGTGGGCGTTTTTCAACACATTCCACATACAGAAGCAAATGATCCAATAATTCCATATTTAATTAGAACTCCATGAGTGTTTTTGTCAATGATTTGTTGATTTTGTGTGATTTCGGTTGGATGGCTATCATAAAGTGAATCCTCAACTTTGTTCGTGTATATTGAAAGTAAATTAGAGAGCTAAAAGGTAGAAAAGTCTGAATATTTATGGTGTACCTCATTTAATTGGTGTACCTTTGCTCATTTAACTTAAATTTAATATGATTTGGTCCACCAATTTCTCTAAATTGCTAACGGATTTATTTTCCATATGCTTTCTTCAAATTGTCATAGATATTTTTTTCCTTCTTTAAAGTTGTCATAGATTTTTTTAGGTGGTTTAGTTCATCGGCAGTCTATTGTTTTCTCTGGTAGAAAGGTCCAGTCTTGCTGTATCCTCCGACTCACTCCACTCTGTCTCTGTCTTTGTGATTCTGGGCTCTGTTCTGCCATTTTTTCTTCTCAAAGAAACCTAATTGCAGGTTCCTTTTCCATTTCCAAGCTTTTGTTATGCTTTGTGCTGCTGTATTTTCTATTTTTAATGAGGCTCGATTGAAATATACATCAATTTGATTGAAATATGCATCAACTTGAATGATTATGCTGCTGTGTTTTGAAGAATAGCAACTTTAATAGGTCTTAAGTCTCTAATTCATTGAAATATTGCATATATTGTGAGGTATTTAATTTTTCCATTGATTTTCATGTTGAAGATATAGATTTTCATTCTGTCGCTGGAGTTAACTTTCCTTTTAAGTGAAGTATTTAATTTTTTTTGTTTCGTCAGCAGATCATTTCTTCGTATTTTTCATTGCAACCTTTTATGTGTATAAATATGCATGTGATTTTTTTTTCTAGGAAAATAATTGTAGAAAGGGAAGGTACTTGCCACCAAGGTGCGTTTCGTTTGGGTTTCTAATGTCTATAAAATTAGATTTAATAATTGCAAGCGAATTTTCCCTAGAAACAATCAGATTATTGGATCTAAGTTGCTAATTGTTTTAATTTTGTATAGGCTGCAATAAAATCTGCACTCACAACTGGAGGAGTCAAGAACCCTAACCATTACTGCCCTGGAACCGTCACTCTTTGGTGAGTTTTCAACACAATATTGTTCAAATCCTCTGAATCGTGATCTTGAATTTTACCATGTTGCATTTCGTTATCTGAACTCTGTTCTTTCATTTATAAATCCGTTTGATTGAAAATTAGTCCATTCGAACCGTCTTCCACCCAAACAACCACTATATACTTTGAAGAATGCATTTAATCTTTCTGGCAACGCCATTTATTTATCTCTCAGCAGCCTACAAGGGGATTCGATTGCATCATATTGGTTTGGTCACTCATCTCTTTGTCCCCTTTTCTATAAAATTTTGTGCGATGTGGATGTGGGTTATTCTCAATGTTTAGATGGTAATTATTTGACAACTTCTGCAATATTCTGTGTATGATATAATAAGCTTTTTCTAACTGAATGTAAGCAAAAGTTTTGCAAATTAGAAGTGATAAAAATCTCTGTTTCATATAGCTATAGTACTGCATAGCAGTATTTGATCAAACTATAATACGTTTTTTTTTACAACGGTGATGCAGAAGGGTTAGCGTTGGAGTTGGAAATAAGTAGGACTTTGTATGGATTATTCTCTCTCTTCCCTGCATTAGAAGGTAAGTATTATTCCAAAATGTTCGGTATAAGTGAAGTTCAGATTGTTGAACCATAGCTTTTTAATTTGACAAGTTACTTTAGTCTAAAGAAAGGTTCTCAATTGGCACTGTAGAAATGAATAGTATTGCAATCCGAATTTCAGATTATTTACAACCATGTCATTGCTCTTTGAGTTGGTTTTGGGTCGGCAGCCCGGTACTAGGCCCGGCCCAAATGAGTTGGTTTTAGCTGAGAAGCCTGGCCCTCAGTCAGGCCCAAATCATTTAATTACAGTTTTGCCCATCTAAGATTACAATCCGATGGTGGGGATGGTGTATTGGGAAGGGCAATTTTATCCTCTCGATTTTGGGAGAGATGGGGGGTGACCCGTTTGATTAGGGTTTTGGGGATGGAGGGTCTGCGAGAGAGAGAGAGATGGCGATGGAAGGAGAGCGAGGGGGATGGGTAGGTCTCGGCACTGTTGCTGCAGATGGCTTTCACAAGTGGGAGAGTCGGTATGGTCAGAGAAGACCCGTAGGGTTTGGGACGGATTGGGATGGGTTACGTGGAGTGATGCTGCCAAAAAAGCATGGGTTGCAGAGAGAGGGAGGGGAAGGGAGAGAGAGGAGTGAGGCACTGAAGCTACCAAAAAAGGGTTTAGGGTTGATTTTTCCTCCTCAAATCAAGGCTGCTGTCGGTGATTGAGGGATGGGGGTTTGATTTTGTGAAGGGAATTACTGCATCTTCACCTCTCTCTCTCACTTCCTCTCTCATCTACTGAAACCATAATCTTCCTCTCCTCGGCACTCTTCCATGTCTCTCGCAAGCTTTTCCTTCTCTCTGTCTTCGTCTCGCTCTCCATCTCACTCCGGGCACTAGATTTCCATCCGTTTCCATCCCCATTTCTTTCCCTCTTTTTCTCTCCCGACTCTCTCTCACTGCCCTATTCTCTCACGCCCGCTCATCATCTCACTCTGGGCAATACATACATGAACTCGATGAGAAGCCACCATCTCTTATCTGCAAAGCGAAGAAGAACTCGACAGATTGTATGTTACTCCTCCCCAATATTTTCTGTATGTTTTCTTCGATTAATTGTTTTTGGGTTTGATTCTTTCCCGAGAATAAGAAGAAAGAAACAGGAAAAATTAATATTGGGTAGTTAATTTATCTTGAAGTGTTATATTTATTCAAGACATCCAAGGGAATTAGGTACTTAATTGATTGATTACCGGAGTGAATTTCTTTGATTTTTCTGAAAGATTTTGTTTTTTTTTTCTGGGGTTTTGATGTTTTCTTGAATTTACTTATCTATGGCGATCGAGAATTTAACGCAGATGGGCTCGACAGGTTTGTGAAGGAGGTGAAGCTTACCGAGTGCGGACTCTCCTATGCGGTTGTTGTAATCATGGGTCCGCAGAGCAGCGGTAAAAATTTGAAACTTTGTTCAATTTGGTTTGAGTTTTGAGGTTTTTGGTGAATTTGGTTTTGGTGCTTATGTCTTTTGATTTGGCAGGGAAAAGCACTTTGTTAAATCATTTGTTTTGGACTAAGTTTAGGGAGATGGATGCTTACGGTGGAAGGTTAGTTTCTGAGTTTGGAATTGATTGTGTAGTCAATTTTGGTTTTTTTTTTTTTTTTGCTTTTGGAATAAGTGCTTTTTGGGAGAGAGGACTATCTGATTTTGTGGATTTGTTTTAGGAGCCAAACTACAAAGGGTATTTGGATTGCCAGGTGTGTTGGCATTGAGCTGTGCACGATTGCGATGGATTTGGAGGGGACTGATGGGAGGGAGAGGGGCGAGGTAGTCAGATTGATTTTTTTTAGGGGGTTTGTGGGGTTTTTTTTTAGAGATTTTTCTGTGAAAGCATTGTTGTTGTATGAATTTTTTTTATTTTGGGTTTTGATTGTTTGGTTATGATACGACTAATGGGCTCGGGTGTCTTGAGATGTTAGCTTCAATAGAAAACAGTGCAGAAATTGAAGGAGATAAGGAAAGAAGAATAAGGGAAAAAGTAGAAAGTTTCATTCAGTCATTCATTCCTCCTCTCAGTCCACAATATTACATATTACTTTAGTCTAAAGAAGGCATGGAAATGGCACTGTAGAAATGAACAGTGTTTTCAACTTATTTACAAATCTACCAGCCTCTCTCTGCTGCTAATCTTGATGTACATGTGTTGATGATCGGGGGAAGGGAAGAACAATGGTAAAACCGCCCTTTTCCATTTCCTTTTCAAACCCTCCTTGCCTCTTCCGTCTTGCAGACCCCGCGAGAACGACGCAGACGGTCTCGCCTCCGTCCTATCCTCCTCTCGCCGCCGTCTCCCTTCTCTCGCCTGTGTCGTCTTACTCCACCTTTTGTGTCAGGAAGGCCCATGCGTGGTTTTTTGGGGTGGGGATTTCAGATTTCAAGAGGCGAGAGAGGCTGTGCTTCGTTTCGGTCGGGTCGGGCCGAGCCTTTATGATTCGATTAGATCGAGGTGATGGGGACAACACGAGGGGTTGAGGTGGCGTCAGGAAGGTATGTCGTTTTTTTCTTCCTCTTGCTGATGCATAAACCCATCAGTTCCTCTGTAATTCGTTTAGGTTTTCATTATTCTTTTTCGATCATATTTAGGTTCTGTGCAAGGAAGGGGACATATGAATCCTGCTCTTGATGATTCAATATGCCATCAAACATTACTTAGGCTTCTAATTTCATTCAGAAATCGAAAACCCATTTGGTGAGCCCTTGAGTCAGGGGCTACGCTAGAACATTTGGAATGAGAGTGGTCAAAGCCAATCATGTTTTTGTATTATTTTCGAGTTGAAAATTAGGTTTTTCTTCATAAGAAGTTTAAATTACACTCTATTGGGTCTGAGACTCAGAAACTCAATATCTTTGTGATATTAGATTAACATAGTTAAGCTATATTTTCTTTTGGTGGGCATGTCTAAATTTCTGTATTTGCACTGTAGGGATGTCTTATCTGGTGAAGTGTTCAAAATCCTCCTGCTAACTGATTTAATAGGTTGAATTTGTATCCAAGGTTTTCTTCCAATATGGTCTGCACTATTTTGTTTAATTAACGAAAACAGGTCACTTCTCTCTATGGTGGTCCCTTAGAGTATATGTTTATCGTGGAAAGCACAGAAGACCCTGCTTATCGGGCTGTATATATGCTACTATCACAGCTTAAGGTGTACGCAACAATAATGATGGTTTCTTTAATATAAGAAGAACATCCAGGACAAGTCATCTATAATATATGCTTGGAAGCACAAGTTTAATGCATAACATTTTTAGGTTACATGTGTTCCTAGAATGATCTGTTTTAAGTTTAACTTCATTTCCTTGCAGGACGAGGTTGATGGTAAGATTGTTGTGGCTGGTATTTCAACAACTTGGGCTCTTGAAAGTGAGCATGCATCTACGCATTTGCATGAATGGATTGATCTCATATTCGGGTAGGTTTCTTTGGACTTTGGAGATTTTTAATTTTAGTTTATTTTTGGTTTGTATCTACCTCTTTTTCTTTCATTTCATTTTGTTTTTTAACTTTTTCTTTTATAAGTTCATCACAACTCTAGACTATATCAACTTTGAATGTTTCATTTTTGAAACTGTTATATTCATTAATAAATTGGAATATACAGGTATAAGCAGCGTGGCAAAGAAGCTATAATGGCAAATAATTTTTTCTTTTACATTACCTATGAAGGGACAGTGGATATTGATAAGATCTCAGACCCAGTAAGTGTAGTTTCTGTTGGCATCTGTATGATTTTTTCCATTATTGTTTGATAATTTTTTTCAGTACATTCTTTTTTCCTCTGTGCCAAAATCAGGTACAACAGCGTGCAACACAGGACCAGATTGCATACTTCGGGCAAACGCCATCCCAACTGCTTACCTTCCCTCACTTGAAGAGGTTGCTATTAGCAGATGTTCTTCATTTACAGGTAACTTTCTTTGGAGAAACAAGAAACTTAGCTGAACCTTTCGGAATGTTTATTTTATTTCTGGAAATTATCCAATCTAACATATTACATTGGGAATAACCTATGAGGAAATAATCACTGGTATGTGTTCATTTTCTTGCTTGAGTTTTTGCTGCGTTGTTCTATAATGTAAAAGTTAGGAAGGGCAATTTTGTCCTATCGGTTTTGGGCGAGATGGGGGGTAACCGGGTAGGTATCATTTGCTGTCGTTCAACTAGGGTTTCGGGGATGGAGGGTTTGCGAGAGAGAGAGAGAGGTCTCGACACTGTTGCTGCAGATGGATTTCACAAGTGGGAGAGTGGGTATGGTCAGAGAAGACCGTATGGGTCGTCAGGATTTCAGGGAGACAGGGTAGGGGTCATGAACAAACCTTACTGAGAGTGGGGTGTGCCGGATCTTGCGATGCATGCCTCAAATCCAAAGACAAGTTTGTTTTTTAAATTATATTCTTTAATGGTAGCTTAGATTTTCGAATTGTTTAGTATGTTAGATCCGGTTTTGGGGGATTTATCATTTTTGAAAGAGATGTGGACAGGGAGATAGAGATAGAGAGAGGGAGAGGAGAAAGCATGGTTGTGTGCATTTTTTGGGGTTAATTAATGGGTTAGTGCACGGGGTCAGTGAGGACAGAATGACAGAGGGATGTATGGAAGGGTATGGGTTTTCAGTTTTTTCCTCTAATTCAACAGGTTATGCACTGTTTGAAAATCATTGTTTATTGTTTTGTTTTCCGTTTGCTTTGTTAAAACCAACTCCGCCTATGTAATTTTACATGGCCGGTCCCAAGCCCGGATAAAGGAGGAGGGGGAGGGCGTCAGGTAGTCGACAGCCGGCACTCCATGATCACGTCGAATCCTTATGAAAATGAATCTAGAACAAAATCGCGCTAAAGCTAGGGCGTCACCCGTAAGTGGCGCGCTGTGTGGCCCGAGCACAGTGATAAGTGAGCAAGGGTCGCTGTATCTCCATCGGCACCCGGATGCAGTGTTAAATGAGCAAGGGGGCCGTAGAAACTTCTTTTCGAACGACTCCACTCAAAGTTGTTTGGGAGCATATGCTCCTATCAACTTTACACGGGACACACACAAGAAGTACTTTGATCCTATTAGACGGGGGAGGGTGAAGAAGCTAGGACAGAAGGGTAGAGTTCAAGAGAGCAAAATGCGTTTAGGAACGTGGAATATAGGAACCTTAACGGGAAAATCTATGGAAGTAGTGGAAGTTATGGTGAGGAGAAGGATAAATATTATGTGCCTACAAGAAACTAAGTGGGTTGGTAGTAAGGCAAAGGATCTAGAAAACTCAGGGTTTAAACTTTGGTATTCGGGCACAAATAGAACGAGAAACGGTGTTGGCATCATCGTGGATAAGACCTTGACGCAAGATGTTGTAGATGTCAAGAGGGTAGGAGATAGAATCATGGCAATCAAGATTGTAATAGGACAAGAACTTATCAATGTGATTAGTGCGTACGCACCTCAAGTAGGGTTGGATACGAGGTCGAAGGAGAAATTTTGGGAAGACCTTGGAGACTTGGTGCAAGGAATTGCTCAGACGGAGAAGTTATTTATAGGAGGAGATTTAAATGGACACGTGGGCAGGGAGACAGGCAACTATGGAGGTTTTCATGGTGGCCATGGTTTTGGGGAGAGAAACGAGGATGGGGAAGCTATCTTGGATTTTGCAATGGCATATGATCTCTTCTTAGCCAACACCTTCTTTAAGAAGAGAGAAGAACATGTGATCACCTACAAGAGTGGGTCGTCAAAAACACAAATAGATTTTCTTCTAATGAGGAAAGGGGATCGTATAACTTGTAAGGATTGCAAAGTTATACCAGGAGAGAGCGTGGCTAATCAACATCGCTTGTTGGTGATGGATGTACATATCAAAAGAGTGAGACAAAAGAACAAGACTTGGAAGTGCCCAAGGACTAGATGGTGGAATCTAAAAGAAGAAAAACAAGCCATTTTCAAAGAGAAGGTAATCACCCAATGTGTGTGGGATAGAGAGGGGGAAGCTAGCCAAATGTGGGATTCCATGGCTAGTTGTATCCGAAATGTAGCAAAAGAGGTATTAGGAGAGTCCAAGGGCTTTGCCCCACACCAAAAGGAATCTTGGTGGTGGAATGAGGAGGTACAAACAAAGGTGAAGGCTAAGAAGGAATGTTGTAAAGCCTTATACAAGGAGAGGACCGATGAAAATGATGAAAGGTATAGAAAAGCGAAGCAAGAGGCGAAGAAAGTTGTCAGAGAAGCTAAGTTAGCGGCTTACGACGATATGTATAAACGACTAGATACCAAAGAAGGAGAGTTGGATATCTATAAACTAGCTAGAGCAAGGGAAAAGAAGACAAGGGACCTAAACCAAGTGAGGTGCATCAAGGATGAGGATGGAAAGGTTCTTGCTACAGAGAACGCGGTTAAAGACAGATGGAGAGGTTATTTTCATAATCTTTTCAATAAAGGACATGAAAGGAGTGCTTCTTTAGGGGAGTTGAGTAACTCAGAAGAGTGTAGAAACTACTCTTTTTATCGTCGAATCCGGAAGGAAGAAGTGGTTGTAGCTTTGAAGAAGATGAAGCATAGAAAAGCAATAGGCCCAGACGATATACCAATCGAAGTGTGGAAAGTTTTGGGAGAGACAGGTATAACATGGCTCACTGACCTTTTCAATAGGATTTTGAAAACGAAGAAGATGCCAAATGAGTGGCGAACGAGCACTTTGGTGCCTATCTACAAGAATAAGGGCGACGTACAAAATTGCATGAACTATAGGGGTATTAAGTTAATGAGTCATACAATGAAGCTCTGGGAGAGAGTCATTGAGCATAGATTGAGGCAAGAGACACGGGTTTCGGACAACCAATTCGGGTTCATGCCAGGGCGCTCAACCATGGAGGCAATCTATCTCTTACGAAGATTGATGGAAAGATATAGAGATGGGAAAAAGGATTTACACATGGTCTTTATAGATTTGGAAAAAGCGTATGATAGGGTCCCAAGAGACATTCTTTGGAGGATTTTAGAGAAGAAAGGAGTACGAGTAGCATATATCCAAGCTATAAAGGATATGTATGAAGGAGCAAAGACTGCCGTAAGAACTCATGAAGGACAAACCGAAAGCTTTCCCATAACTGTAGGATTACATCAAGGCTCATCCTTAAGTCCTTACCTTTTTGCGTTGGTAATGGATGAGTTAACAGGACATATTCAAGATGATATTCCTTGGTGTATGCTTTTCGCAGACGATATAGTGTTGATAGATAAAACTCAGGAAGGGGTAAATGCAAAGCTTAACCTTTGGAGAGAAGTGTTGGAATCTAAAGGTCTTCGCCTAAGCCGATCAAAGACAGAATATATGGAGTGCAAGTTCAGTGCAAATGGAGGCCAAAACGAGTTAGGGGTGAGGATCGGAGATCAAGAAATACCAAAGAGCGACCGTTTTCGTTACCTAGGATCTATCTTGCAAAAGAACGGAGAATTAGATGGAGATCTCAACCATAGAATACAAGCTAGATGGATGAAGTGGAAGAGTGCATCTGGTGTGTTGTGTGACCGTCGTATGCCACTGAAGCTCAAGGGAAAATTTTATAGGACGGCAATAAGGCCGGCGATGCTGTATGGCACAGAATGTTGGGCGGTGAAGCATCAACACGTACACAAAATGGGTGTAGCGGAGATGAGGATGCTTCGTTGGATGTGTGGGCACACGAGAAAGGATAAGATTAGGAATGAGGATATCCGGGGTAAAGTAGGAGTAGCCAAAATTGAAGGAAAGATGAGAGAAAATCGGTTATGGTGGTTTGGACATGTGCAAAGAAGGCCTACTGACGCTCCGATTAGAAGATGCGACTATGGGACAAAGGTTCAGGGCCGAAGGGGTAGAGGAAGAAGACCTAGGAAAACTTTGGAAGAGACTCTAAGAAAAAGACTTAGAGTACTTGGATCTAACGAAGGACATGACACAGGACCGAGCACAATGGCGTTCTAAGATTCATATAGCCGATCCCACTCAGTGACTTGGATTTTCCAAGTCTCCAACCGAGAAGTTTTCCTCACTCAGGGAAAATTAAGGGAACACTACCCCAACCTACATGCTCCACTCAGAAAGCTTCAACATACAAGCTTCAACAAAAGAAAATTCAAAGAACTTAGCGAAGAAGGCTTTGGTGTATTTAACACAATACGTTGAAATGAAGGAAAGCTTATTTATTGATATCCCCGATAAGCTTCAAATATGTACATATACATGAGTCAAAATAAACAAACAAGAGGAGCCTTCACAAAGGTTGCTTAGGAGAAGTCTCAGCAGTCGGTAGAGCCCCAGAAAGAGAAGGCACCGAAGGGGGATCATTCGGAGCCTCAGTACTGGACAGAACCCTAGAAGGAGGAGGCATCAGAGGTTGATCATTTGGAGCTTCATTACGCGGTACAGCCCCAGAAGACGAAGGCAATAAATGCCTTTGGAACAAACCCACAAATCTCTGATGATCAAGTAAAACCTGACCATCAGTTTCCTTCATCTGGTCAAGCTTCCTCTTCATGTTTGTAGCATAGTCATGTGCGAGCCGGTGCAACTGTTTATTCTCATGCTTGAGCCCTCTAATCTCCTGTTTGAGACTCATCACTTCAGCCGCCAATGATTCAACTTGGCGGGTTCGAGCAAATAGGCGTTGGGCCATATTAGACACAGAACCTGCACACTGAACACTGAGAGCCAGCGAATCCTTAACAGCTAACTCATCAGACCGTTTGGAAAGTAGCCTGTTATCTTTGGGAGTGAGAAGGTTCCTGGCCACCACCGCAGTGGTCATATCATTCTTCATCACGGAATCCCCAATGGTAAGAGGACCAGTAGGGGAGACGAAGGATGGGCGCCATATGTTGTCTGGAGAAGGCGGGGCTGCCTCTTCAACAAGGTTCAAGTCAAAACGACAGTCGGAGGGGCCAGACATTTTCAAAGGTGTTGAAGAGAGAAGAAGTCGGACAAATCAAGATCTTAGAAGTGCAAGAATGGAGCTTCTACTGGTGGAGATTCAAGTGTGCTTTGGAACTTAATGCCAGCCCCTATAAAAAGCTGCACTCGACGGAGCTTCAGACATCGAAGAGGCGCCTGCTCAGAAATCGAAAAGGCGTTTGCTTTCTCAAAAGCTGGGCTGCTTAGAGACCACGAGGGTAATCTCATAAATCGAAGAGGTGTTTGCTTTCTCAAAATTTGGGCTGCTCAAAGACCATGAAAGCCGATCTCAGAAATCGAAGAGGCGCTCGCTTTCTCAAAAGCTGGGTTCCTCAGAGACCACGAGGGCCGATCTCAGAAATCGAAGAGGCACCTACTTTTCCAGCCTTGTCAGCACCTGTCACACGCACACTCAGCTTTGCGGAAATTATGGGTATTCTGTCGAAGACTTCTGGGGAAGTAGAAAACACATGAATCTTACTGTCCAATCACCCACTTCCCACACGCAACAATAGCTCATGGGTACCACAGATAACTTTGCCAAAGTTCTCTGCCAAAGTTGAGCACGTGAAGCTTGCAGCTCCCACTACATCGCTCTGACCAAGAAGGGTAAAAGTATAGCAAAGAAACAGCACTAACAAAGTTTAGACCCATAAATTTTGAAGGTCTAGCTACCATATTATTACCCACAACAAGGGTAAAGGAACAGTACCACTGCTAGATAATTGGAAAGTCCCTGTGTGTCAACCTTTGTGCCTTGTGGCAAGGTAGACTAGCAAACATGCCCAACCTTTACTCACATTTCGAGAAAACACTCCCAATAAGATTGCTTGCTCCAAAATCGAAGAGGCACCGTCCTCCGAATCTCGAGAGCCAGACTCCCAACATGACTACTTTATCAAAAATCGAAGAGAGGGTAAATGAACAGTACCATTGCTGGATAATTGGAAAGTCCCTGTGTGTCAACCTCTGTGCTTCGTGGCAAGGTAGACTAGCAAACATGCCCAACCTTTACTCACATTCGAGAAAACACTTCCAACAAGATTGCTTGCTCCAAAATCGAAGAGGCACCGCCCTCCGAATCTCGAGAGCCAGACTCCCAACATGATTACTTTCTCAAAAATCGAAGAGACACTGCTCCCCGAATCTCGAGAGCCAGACCCCCAGCATGATTGCTTTCTCAAAAATCGAAGAGGCATCGTTCTCCGAATCAATCGAAGAGGCGCTCGCTTTCTCAAAAGTTGGGCTGCTCAGAGATCACGAGGGCCGATCTCAGAAATCGAAGAGGTACCTACTTTTCTAGCCTTGTCAGCACGTGTCACACGCACACTCAGCTTTGCGGAAATTATGGGCATTCTGTCGAAGACTTCTGGTGAAGTCGAAAGCACATGAATCTTACTGTTCAATCACCCACTTCCCACACGCAACAATAGCTCATGGGTACCACAGATAACTTTGCCAAAGTCTCTGCCAAAGTTGAGCACGTGAAGCTTGCAGCTCCCACTACATCGCTCTGACCAAGAAAGGTAAAAGAAACAGCACTAACAAAGTTTAGACACATAAATTTTGAAGGTCTAGCTACCATATTATTACCCACAAGGGTAAAGGAACAGTACCACTGCTGGATAATTGGAAAGTCCCTGTGTGTCAACCTCTGTGCTTCGTGGCAAGGTAGAGTAGCAAACATGCCCAACCTTTACTCACATCCGAGAAAACACTCCCAACAAGATTGCTTACTCCAAAATCGAAGAGGCACCGTCCTCCGAATCTCGAGAGCCAGACTCCCAACATGATTACTTTCTCAAAAATCGAAGAGACACTGCTCCCCGAATCTCGAGAGCCAGACCCCCAGCATGATTGCTTTCTCAAAAATCGAAGAAGCATCGTTCTCCGAATCTCGAGAGCCAGATACCTAATGCCACTTTTTCAAAGTGCTCTGACAGAGTTAAAACATGTGAAGCTGGCAGCTCCCACTACCGTGCTGTGACCAAGCAGGGTAAAGGAATAACATTACTACTTGTTAGAGAGACTCCTATATATGTCGACCTCCATCCCCAACGGACAGGCAGACCTGCAAAAATGCTTAACCCTTCCTCATATCTGAGAGGGCACTCCCAACGAAGCCTTTCGAAATATTCAGCTTTCTTTCCCCCCGATAATACCTCTGCAAACAAGCTATACTAGAGCAAGAATATCTCATATCATCAGGGTTAAAAGCAAGAGTATCCCATATCATGCTTTTTCCCTGTCTTTTCCTTTAGCTTTGTTTTTACCTGCAAGACAAGGAGAAATAGAGCAATCAGTCAGCACTTGAAATCAAGCTCCCAACCAGGAACTGACTGCCTGGAACCCCTTACCTGATTACTTACCTGGCATTGCTCTCGAGTACTCATCTTCAACATCTTATGTTTCCAGGGAAGATACCGCATCTGCTTGAGGAACAGATAGGGCAAGTGCGAAGGATACAAGGAAGCATGTGGAGACAAGCGTAACAGCACACGTGCCTATACATCCATTACTCTGTCAAAAGCAAAAGTATCCCATATCAGCAGGGTCGAACGTACTCTAGATTTGATGGACTTGTTTTGACCCTCAAATTCTTCAGTCGGCCTTATACTCTGGAGGAAACCAGAAAACCCTCCAGCTCAGTTCAAGAATAAGCCTGTGGAAAGCTACTTCTTCAAAAGCAAAAGTATCCCATATCATCTCTTCTCATTTTTCTTCTCTTTATCCTTCATGCTGCTGCAAGATGGGGAGAAGGTGAAAAATCAGCCGGAGCTCTGATTGCTTACCTTGTTTGTCACCTCTTTCAGCAGATGCCCTAGCTCGGCGACTTGGGGGACTCCTACTACATGGTTTGTATCGCGCTTGACCAAGCCTGAAACTACAAGTAAGCTTCAAGTGAAATTGATACATTACCTTGTGCATCTCCACCAGTTAAAGATACCACCCCTGGATGGAGGAAGAGTACTTCCAGAGAAGCTGCCACATCTACCTATGAGACAGATAAGGCAAGTCAAGATGATACCACACTCCGATACTTAGAAGTTTCGTGATTACGAGATCATTCTCCCACAATATTTCCTAATGTCATTTGTACTCTAATGTCAGTTGTACTAAATCATTCACTTGTACTCACTAAAGGAGAGCTTAAACCTATGTAATTGTGTAAACCCTTCACAATTAATGAGAACTCTTCTATTCCGTGGACGTAGCCAATCTGGGTGAACCACGTACATCTTGTGTTTGCTTTCCTATCTCTATCCATTTATATACTTATCCACACTAATGACCGGAGCAATCTAGCGAAGATCACAAAAAGCGACCGTTTTCGCTACCTAGGATCTATCTTGCAAGAGAACGGAGAATTAGATGGAGATCTCAACCATAGAATACGAGCTGGATGGATGAAGTGTAAGAGTGCATCCGGCGTGTTGTGTGACCGTAAACATCAACACGTACACAAAATGGGTGTAGCGGAGATGAGGATGCTTCGTGGGATGTGTGGGCACACGAGAAAGGATAAGATTGAGAATGAGGATATCCGAGGTAAAGTAGGAGTAGCCGAAATTGAAGGAAAGATGAGAGAAAATCGGTTCCGGTGATTTGGACATGTGCAAAGAAGGCCGACTGACGCTCCGGTTCGAAGATGTGACTACGGGACAGAGGTACAGGGCCGAAGGGGTAGAGGAAGACCTAGGAAAACTTTGGAAGACACTCTAAGAAAAGGCTTAGAGTACTTGGACCTAACGGAGGACATGACACAAAACCGAGCGCAATGGCGTTCTAGGATTCATATAGCCGACCCCACTTAGTGGGAAAAGGCTTTGTTGTTGTTGTTGTTGTTGTTGTTGCTTTGTTAAAACCATCATTCGAATTTTTTGGTTTCACTATGCTCATTTATGTGCTTCTTCATAATTTCCTGGTGTTTGCTTCTGCTACTAAGTAGATTCTATAGTGTTCTAAATCTGTTTGGTAAATGGGCTTAAAGATTGGACATGTTATTGAATATTAGCCATGTAGTTTGGATTGGATATGTGGACCTTGGTGAAACCCACAGTGTGTGGATTTCACGTTATAGTGTTCTAACTCAAACAGGCTTTCGTGTTGCGTATTTTGATTAATAGCTGTGAAACCCACTGTGTGTCGCACCATGTAAGGAAATGGAATTGCTCCTTTTTGAGTTTAGGTAGATTTTTTTAGAGGTTTTTGTATATATTGCTAGAAACTTTGTCTACTTATATATGGTGATTTACGTTTCCATTGGTGCGACTCTGGAATCTTATTATTTGTTGTAGGAAATTCTGTTTCTGTATTTATTGTATAATATTTCCTTCGTTCTCACCATTGGATTCGATTTCAGTGAGTTCTCAGTTGATCCTTGCTGTCATGATTTCCCAAATTGGTATTTTTAGGCGTCTTCAGTTGTCACTTTGATCTGGAATTTCCGCGTTATTTCTTTTAATTTCTGGGTTTTTATTTTTTCTCACATAATAATGACATTCGATATAGTTGACACCATGCATTACTTATAGAGCAATTTTTTTTTTTACTGTAAGGACCATTTTGAATTGATTTAGTAAATGTAGTGTAGGCATAAGAACTTTGTGTTGTTTTGCAATGATTCATGAACAGTGGAATGTGTCGTTGCTGTAACACGAAACCCAGCTTTTGGCTATCCGCTGGCATCTCTCTGAAGGTGTACTATCTTATGTGGAATTGGGATGGTATGACTTTGAATACTTACCGTATATGAGGAAAGGAAATTTGAAATGTTGCATTGATTAATTAGTAGAGAACGAAAGCATTGATACTATATGATTGTGTAGATTCAGTTATGTTGATTGAGTATTTGTTGGTGCATTGCAATAAGATGCATTTTTTCATAATAAGTTGATGTGGATGAAGAGTATAACATCATAATTCTGGGTTGTTGTATTTATATGATTCATCTGTTCTGCTTAACATGAGATATTTAGTACTAATTAGGCATTTCATTTTACAGAAATTTTTAGCATGGGGATTGGTTAATGGTATCTAACATACTGCTAAGGCCGCTCCATCATCTGCTAGCTTGAGAAGTGATGAAAGCGCCGAGAAAAGAGAGGTATCCATTAACAAACCCCCCGACCTCTTTTTGTTTTAATTTAATAGCCACATATATGTAATCACTTTAAGCAATATATTTCACTTTTCACAGAAATTGGCCGCAAAATCCAATGCGAAAGTAACAGAGAGCACACTCCCAACCAAAGTCAAAGGTGTGATCGTACAAATTGTTATTCTTTTAAGGAGAATAATATTATACCTGTCTAATTCAAGTTTTGTATCAATGTTCATTTGCTATTACCCTATGAGTGTTGCTATATGACTCAGAGAAAATATAACTATGTTATTGGTGATTAGAATTATTGGCGAGAGTATCAAAAAAGCAGCGGTTGTGAATCCAATCGAATCTGATAAGGTTCTGAAAGCAACCCAAGAACATGGCGTCGGTACGAAGCTCATCCTCACCACTCGCCACCACCGGTCTATTTAGACTTCCTCATCCAATTTACCATTCAATGCCTCATATTCATATTGATATATATATATATATATATATGTGTGTGTGTGTGTGTGTGTGTGTGTGTGTGTGCGCGCACATATATTTGTTTTCGGTGTTTTAGTACTTTCCAAAAATGGATTTATGGGGATTTATGTCGTAGTTGAGTACATGATGCGGATTCATATTCAAGGAAAAATGATCCTCGCTCGAGGTCTCTTTCTTGATTTGATTGATCGTTTTGCTAGGGTTTCGAGTTGTTGCAATTAGATCTTCAAATTGTATTGTAGAATTTATTAGCATAGTGGTCCTCACAAATCACCATCGATGTAACACCTAATTAATCGTATCCAATGTTGTGATCTGAAAAGAAGCACTAATTAAGGGAGTAATATTTAAGGTTGAAGATAAAAGATTCGCCATAGCTGATAGCTCTAGATGTGTAATTACATAATAATTAGCTCCATTGGTTAATCCAATTTGTTGACGTAAGGAATACATTTTGACTGATACAAGTGCATGCTCTCATGGATTTCTCCCAAAGATTGGATTTTCAGTTTTTTGGAATGTTAAAAATTTAGTTTTTTGATCTTTTCTTGAAATGATATGAAATTGGAAATCCAAAATATCAATTTTTTGACTTTTGGTTCAAAATTTTGAATGCAAGAGGTCATGTTGGTCCATTTTTGACCTTATTTTTTTTATTTTTTCATTATATTTTGCTGTTAGCAATGAATTTATGAATGAATGAAAACAGTGGATGCTAAATTTAGGGGGATTTTGCTCAAATGAAGATACTGTAATAGTAACTGAATATATTCATACTTTAATTCTACCTGTTTATTGGGCAATAATCTTCTCCTGAACTAACAATCTGACTATCTGCTGAGTTGAATTATTCAAATAGGTTCTTAATCGACTGACCGGGCTTAATAGGTTTTTGGTGGCATTTTTTATGAAGATAATTTTTGGGTGGGTTTTGTGTTTGCTGTAGTGAATTTTGGGTGATTATGTTAGTGGCATTTGTATTTGGGTTCGGGCTTGATGGGGTTTGTTCTTGATGATTGGTTGTTGGTTATGAACTTAGATTCTTGGTTGTAATAATGCTTAGTTGTAATAATGCTTTTGCTTAGTTGTTCATGTAAAAATGGAACATTTTTTTAGTATATATATCATTTTATATTCGTTGAATGTTTGAACTTATGCTTATTAAATTGATTGCAAGACTACAACTTGAAAAACTAACACATGCATATAATTTTTGTGAAGGAACTGCGGTCCAGTGGCTGTATAGAAGAAAAGGACAACGCATGCTCTCTCTCTCTCTCTCTCTCTCTCTCTCATAGTAGCTCTGTGTTCCTCTCCCCCCAAACCTAATGGATTCGGCCCAATTCGGAGCTCCAGGTGAGATAATTTTCCCCAAATTGTATTCAATCTATGTTGCTTCATTTCATTTTCCAATTTAATTTGGAATTGTTGATATTTTAGGTAGGTATCGCATGTATAACCACGACAATTTTTGTGTTGGATTGGGGTCAAAGTGTCTAGCTTTATTAGCTATTTGGTCTCCTGTGTATTTGTAATCTGAATAATATGAATTAGGGCTTTTCTGGTAGTGTCTGATTGGTCAAGAAAGGATGCTTCTTTTTTGTTATCATGCATATTTAAGCTGTAAACATCTGAAAAACTGCTTAATTGAAGTGAGATTTCCAGTTTTTGAGCTCAGTTTCAGGTCTTGAGCTTTGAATTTGTTTACATGTATCCCAGCTTGAGCTATCTAATCGTAGTTTAGGGGGATTTTGCTCAAAATCTGGAGAGCTCTCTCGCTTTGCTCTCTATGTAAACACAAGAGAAATTCCATGGAAATTGTTAATGTCTGAACTAAAGTCTATTTGAAATTTCAAAGTAAAACATTTATTTCATTGCTTTGTTTTTGGTATAAAAAAAATATTTATTGTTGAATAAGGACCCCTTTTTATGGATTGTTGACATATGTAAGAAATTGTTTCTGTTCTAACATATTAATTTTGCTCAATACTAATGCCATAACTGAAATTTTATAGAAATGGTGTAATTGGTCAATCTGAAATTTCGAATTTTAGCCGATGAATAAACTCTTACATGATTGCTACTGCATACAGACATATTTTTTGGTTGTTAGATTTTGTTTTTATTTCATTTTTTGCTATATGCAATTGTTGGTTTTGCAAAGGACTGACCTTTAACCTATGTAGTTTTACCTTTTTTGTTGTCAGAGTATGGGTTGGTTTTATTTAATAGATTGACTGGTATTTTTGCGTTATTTGTTTTCAATAATCAGTATTCATTATTGGTTTATTGGTAATTAAAAGTTTCATCCTTTTAAAATTTATTATGGATAAGTGAACACAGTTACGAGTATCAACCATTTATCCTCATTCATATTCAAATATAATATGGATAAGTGAACACAGTTATTGTTTGAACATCTGTGCTTGACGACTTACCTGCTCAAGCACCGCTTTTTCTGTGTTTTGCTAATTGCTAAGTGAGGTATGTAGGCTGCAGGGCATATATTTTGCCGTCTTAACTGCAGGGGCAAAATATGTGTGAACTGCAGCTTGCTTCTGTTTCTTCAGTTTCGTATGGAAACAGACCTTCTGCTTATTTTTGCGTTTGAACAGTTGTGGTTACAAAATTAGCTACTTAAACAAGTCATCAACACTTTCTGTTTTTAATTACCAGTTGAAATGGTTGCCTACACTGCAGGACACATATTAGATGTGTGAACTACATGTTTGTTCTGTTTCTTAAGGAAACAGAACTTTTTGGGTAACCATCTCTTCCTAATCAAAATGTTCAATTTCTTCCTACTCATTGTACAATGTGTTTATGTGTCAGCTCACTTGAATGTATAAAAACAAAACTGCTTATCTTATTGATCTTATTCACTCATTTATTCCTTTCTTTGTTCATAATTGTGTTGAATTTATTCAACTTAAATGTGTTTTATTCATCCGATTACGCTTGAAACAGTTGGTTCCTGTGGCAATGCGCAGGCCTAATTTCTAGTTTATATTTTGAAGATAAGTAACCCTAGCTCTATATGGACCAAAAGATGGATCAGGTACGGCCCCCGTAAGAGAGTATTGGGCTCGGGCTTCCAGTAGTTGGGCTCAACAACTCCTCCCCCGTAAGAGCAGGCCTGTCCTCAGGCCAAGAAATCTGGGTAACGGGCCAAGATCTCGTCCGCTTCCTCCCAAGTGGCATCGTTGGTGGGTATGCCAACCCATTTAATTAGCCACTTTGTCACTGCTCTGTTTTTCTTCTTGAAGATGCCCCGATCCAAGACCATTTCTGGTTGCCAATGCAATACCCCTGTGGAATCAATAGGAGGTAAATCTGCCAGTGGAGAATGAGCATTGCCGATTTGAGGTTTGAGGAGGGATACATGGAAAACAGGGTGGAGTTTGGAGTCGGGGGGTAATCGAAGTTGATATGCAACCCGGCCGATACGCTTTGTAATCTGAAATGGTCCATAGAACTTGGGTGCTAGCTTGTTAGATGGGCGATTAGCCACCGAGTGTTGCCGGTATGGTTGAAGTTTCAGATAGACCCAATCACCGACGTTAAACTCTCGCTCAGTTCGTTTATGATCATAGACTTGTTTCATTCTGTGTTGGGCTAGCTGCAGGTTGGTGCGCAAAAGACGTAGTAACTTGTCTCTGTCTTGTAATGCCTCATCAACCGAGTGGACAGCTGTGGAACCGGCCATGTACATCTGAATGGTTGGTGGTTCAATGCCATAAACCGCCTGGTATGGAGACATTTTAATTGCAGATTGGAAGCTTGTGTTATATCACCATTCGGCCCAGGGAATGAGAGAAAACCATTTGGTGGGTTTATCCGCTGAGAAGCAACGGAGATAATGTTCCAAGGTGCGGTTAAGGACTTCAGTTTGGCCATCTGTTTGTGGGTTGTATGCCGAACTAGTGCAAAGTTTGCTGCCCTGAAGATGAAAGAACTCTTGCCAAAAGTTGCTCATGAAGATGGGGTCACGATCCGAAACGATCGACTTGGGCATGCCATGGAGTTTGAAAACTTCCTTAATAAAAATGTCGGCTACCAAAGCTGCTGTGTAAGGGTGCTTAAGTGGAATGAAGTGGCCGTACTTTGATAGACGATCCACCACGACAAGAATCACAGTGTAACCGTTGGAAGGAGGCAGTCCTTCAACAAAGTCAAGTGTTATATCTTGCCATATGCCTCCTGGATTGGCAGGGGTTGGAGCAAGCTCGGAGGGTGAATGTTTTCAATGTTTTGGCGTTGGCACTCTATGCATTCGGCCACGAACTTCTTTGTTTCTTTCCTTATTCCAGGCCATAAAAAATTTCTGGAGAGTCGTTTGTAAGTACGAAGGAAACCGGAGTGGCCCCCTTGAAGAGTGGCATGGAATTCGGCCAGGAGCTTGGGTCTCCAATGTGAAGTGAGGGGAACAAAAACTCTTTGTTTGTAGTGCAGCACGTTGTTGATAAGAGAGAACCCTTTGATTGGGGTATTTGTTACCGAAGGTAATAAGTGCCAAACCTTTTGCACTTCCGGGTCCTGGGCATATGCTTGTTGCAGCTGTGGGATACAATCAAATATGGGTGTGGAGAGGCCCATTAACAGCAGGAGATCATGTTGGCGGGAGAGTGCATCAGGGCCCTTATTCAGAGAACCCGGCCGATACTCGACGGAGTAATTGTACCCGAGCAGCTTGACCAACCATTGGTGCTGTTGTGGAGTGGTAATTCGTTGCTCTAAGAAATGTTTGATTGGTTGGTGATCCGTGACGATGCGGAAATGTTGCCCCAGGAGGTATGGTCGCCAGTGTTGGACTGCAAAAACTATTGCTAGCATTTCTTTGTCGTAAGTTGACAATCCAAGTGTACGGTCGGAAAGTGCTTTGCTAAGGTAAGCAATAGGATGACCCTCTTGGCTTAGAACAGCGCCAATACCAGTGTCTGCTGCGTCCGTTTCGATGACGAATTGTTTGGAGAAATCTGGTAGGGCAAGCACTGGGGTGGTCGCTAACATATTCTTCAATGCTTCGAAAGCCTTTATTGAATCTGTGGACCATGAGAAATTGCCTTGTTTCAACATGTTCGTTAAGGGCTTGGCAATGAGGCCATAATGCTTCACAAATTTCCGGTAGTAACCCGTTAACCCGAGGACACCACGAAGGCTCTTAAGTGATGTTGGCTGTGGCCATTCTCTGATGGCCTTGATTTTTGAAGGATCTACTGCAACACCCTTTCCTGAAATAGTATGTCCCAAATATTCAACTTGCTCCTTGCCGAATGAACACTTGCTGAGCTTACCCTTCAAGCTGTGTGTGGAAAGAATCTAAAAAATTGTCTCCAGATGGGAGATGTGAGATGCTATGGAAGGACTATCACTACTACAATATAGGCTATCACCGGCGGACCCAAAACCGACAAGAAACCCCGATTTCTGTCGGAAATTTGGCAAAAATCCGACATTAAACACTGCAATGTCGGATTGGAATAGCGACGCCATTGCTACCGTCACTAAAGGGCTTCAGCGTCGCTTTGTTCGCTTAATCCGCCACTACACAGCGTCGGTTTAAAGCGACGCTGATGTTAACGTCGGTTTAAAGCGACGCTGATGTTAACGTCGGTTTAAAGCGACGCTAGTTAACAATTAACTAAATAAAATATGCAAACTAGTGACGGTTTAAAGCGACGTTAGAGAACAATTAAATAAATAAAATATGCAAACTAGTGACGGTTTAAACCGACACCACCTTTGATAATAATAATTAAAAAAAAAGTCGAAATCTGTTTCTGTATTCGTTCTCAAATAATTATAACTCAAAAAAATTATATAATCGAAATAATAAATTTCAATTTTAGGCCAAAACAAACAATAATAAAAATAATTCAAAAAAGAAAATAGTGCCATAATATACAAATGTTTTACATCTAACATTCCATATAATTTACAAAAATTCATCCTCCATGCTTTCCTGTGCTTGCCTTTGTCGAAGACCACAGATTTTGTAGCTCCATAGTGCCATATATAATACTAGCAACTCCATGCTGCCATGCTTGCCATCAGATCAGTGCTCCAATACTTTACTACTTCAACATTAGGGCTCTAATCTCTATAGATTAAACTCAGGTTTTATACCTTTAAAAAATTATGGATCTGCGATTTCCAGTGTCCTTGCTCTTCAGATCCAACATGCATAAATACAAAAAAAAAAACAATTAAAAACCAAGAAACAAAAATAAATTTTCAATTTAAGCATAAAACTATTTAGAATACAAAATAGAAACTAAAATTAATAATCATAATAATTTAAAAATGAACCACCTTCAAGATCTTCCTCCTCGAATTGGAGTTCTTCAGAATGTTGA